CCATTCGTTGTGAATTTTGCGCGGACCACACGCTTTTGCAAGCATAGCGTTCATTTTTAATTTCTACTCTCCGAACACACTCATTTTGGCAACAGTTGATTCAATGCGTTTACAAATCGGCCATAGCCCACACCATTTGCCCAATCCGTCCATCCATATGCACATACACACCCACATGCATACATATATACATACATACGTGTATACAGTCGCTCCTCTCTTTTCTTGCATCCAATTTATTTGCTCCCATTGTTTAGGCTCTTTTATGACGTCATGAAAACTGCGGTTCTGATTTGGTACCTCCGAACGGCTGTCAATTGAGGGATCAACCTGAAACTCGGCATCACTTCTTGTCTCCAACCCATCTCTGTTGAGCTTTCTTCCATTTCTGGTGAAAGTGTTTGCTGAAGCGAATCGAAGCTCGATCCCACCAAAAGACGAGTTCGGTACTTTCGTCCATCATGTGACGAACATCATCAGAGCAAGGCATTCTTGACTGGATAGGTTGAATTTGTTTGTGACGATGATACCTTGCTCTGATGACGGACGAAATGTTAGCACCTTTTCGCCGGAATCGAAGCAGATGGCCTCGGAAACAGCGTCAGCATGAATGTTGCAGTAAAGCCAATCGAGAGACGGTCAAGTGGAATCCGTGGCTGGTCGTCTTCTGGTGGAATCGAGCCTCGAATCTCTTCACCCAACACTCTCGCTCGAAATGGAAGTAAGCTCGTAAACCCTACTTTACTTCGCATACATTCAAGCTGGCGGATCAGGAAAATGAACCGGATTATGCCGAAATGCTGCATTTGTAGCCTAAATCTAAGCGTTTTAGAGAGGAATAAAGTGGTTTGGTTAGTTCAAGTCGTACATCAACCTCGGAGTTTGCATGTCTGTCTGTCTGTCTGTCTGTCTGTGCGTGTGTGTGTTTATATGCCTTCATCGGTTCGTATGTGTACGTCTATGGTGGAGGCCATCAAACCTCGTTCCGTCCTAATTATTTTGAGCCATCACCTCCGTTTTCGTGCATGCGTAAAGCGAATCGACGCTTGGCCAAAACGAATCTGCCGTCGTCGGCTGGTGGGAAATACCACCACATGTCACATTCACTCGAAATTGAACCGAACACAACGCGTGTCATTGTTGAACTCACTTCCATTTTGAATGAGGCTGTCTGGTGAAAGGATTCAAAGGTCGAGGCAGCCAGAAGACAATGGCTTTGCTGGAACATTCTTGTTGACGCCGTTTCAGAGACCCTCTTCCGCGATTCCGGTGGAAATATGCTGGGCTTTTCTTTTCGAATCTGTTCACCGCACATTTTCACTCGAAACGGAAGTTAGCCGAACGATTGTATTCTCTTTCTAGCTTTCGAGTATAGCACTTGTTTTTCGTTCGTGTGTAGCGTTTCAAGACGACCAGTAAATCACTTATACGAAATGTACCCATCCCATTTTGTTTATGATGATAAGGAGACTAGTTATATTTGCCATAGCACTCGATTGCACTACTTATTTCTAGTTTGTAAGTAGGCACTCGAGATTAGCAATTAAGCCTGAATAAAAATGCCACAACTCTTTGTTTTTGCGTTACACCACTCGAGAAAATGTGTGGATTAGTGTTGTTTCTGGTGCGACCAATTTCACATACATTTTGGCCCACATTTCACACAAAATGAGATCTCTTCTGGTTTCGAGTCCAAGCCGGTTGCCCACCCAATCATTTACCGGCTCAGCCTCCTCAAGGCTTAAGTGGACTGTGGAGGGGTGAATTGAGCCGGTGTGCGTCGGTGTATGTGAGTGTGTGTG